AGGCCAAACCAACTGAGGGAGTAGGCCCCCCAAATTCCCAACTGAGGGACTAGGTCTTCCTAAATTCCCAACTAAGGAGTAGGACCCTAAATTCCAAGCTGAGTAGGCACCCCTAAATTTCCTGCTGAGGAAGTAGATCCCCCAAATTCCCAGCTGAGTAGGGCACCTAAACCCCAAGCTGAGGGAGTAAGTCCTCCTTAAATTCCAATCTGAGGGAGTCGGTCTTCCCAAATATCCAGGTGAGGGAGTAGGGCCCTCTTAATTTACAACTGATGGAGTAAGTCCCACCAATTTCCCAGCTGAGTATGTACCCCTAAATTCACAAGGAGAATTTCAAGGTGCTATCCTTGGAACCTGGAGTGTCCAGGCTGCTGCCCACAAGTTTGCTATTTGAGGCTGACCTCCTGTGATGGCTACAGTTCGGGTTGCAGGGGTGGTGTGAGTGTGAGGCCTCCTGCATGTGTGTGAATGTGTGTGTGTGTGTGTGTGTGTGTGTGTGTGTGTGTGTGACATGATTGGTTTCTTGTCTTTCTCATGCAGTTGGGTGGTGACTGGGCACCCAGGTGGTAAACTGTCCTTTTGTCCTGTTCTGAGTCTCTCACCCTCACTGAGCTCCCCAGTAACTTAGGCAACAGCCTCAGTTATGGTCCATCCTGTGGGACCCTTGTGCTCACATCTGTGCAACAGGTGAGGATGGGCTAGGTTGCTTTTAGGGAACCTCAGCCTTGCTGTATAGAAGGTGAAGTTCTGTTGCACAGGGCCTCCTGGGTAGGTGGGCAAGCGGAACTTTTTAAACGTTTTGTTTTGATTTTTTTTTTTCTTTCAGAGGGATCAGAAAGAGAACAATCTTAGTCTGGGAGGAGCCAGGCAAAGGGAGGAGTAGGCCTCTGAGGAGCTGTCAGTCCTGGAAGCCACCTGATGGAGCTGGGACTGCCTTAAAAGAATGGGGAACTAATTACCTCACCTCTGCTTTGTGCGCAGGCCACAGGGTGAGCCCAGAGCTGGGAGGGTTGGGGTAGGAGCTCTCCAACGTCTGCCATCTGCAGAGAAGGGGAAGTACAGAGTGAGGGGGTGAGCCAGAGGCTTGCTGTCCATGGTGCTGAATGTTCTGGGCCTGCGTGCCGACCTTACTCTGTCAGTGAGCATTGCTTCTGTTCCTCGCAGTCTGCACTCACCTTCTCTCCCTCCCTTCTTGTCTTTCTCTTTTTCTCCTTTTTCTTTTCTATTAGCATACATTAGTTGTACAATGTGGGTTTCGTTGTGACATTTCTAGACACGTAAAAACAATGTATCCTGATCAAACTCACCCCTCTATTACCCTTCCTTACCCCCTCCCCACTATTAAAACAATGTAACAGGACTCATTGTTCTATTTTCACTCATGCAAATAAACTACTTTGATCATACTCATCCTTATTCACCCTCCCCATTTGTCACCCCACTCCCCAACAAAAACCCTTTTACTTTCCTGTCATTCATTTTCTCTTTTAGTTTGTATTAATTGCACCAAGGGATTTAAACATAGTATTTCAGATGTGTGTGTGTATATATATATATATATGTGTGTGTGTGTGTGTGTGTGTGTGTGTGTGTGTATTATAATAACTCTCTATGTTGCTTTCTTCTCCCAGTTCCCAGTCTCCTATTTATCATCAGCTTTCATTGAGATTCTTTTTATCATCTTTATACCTGCTGTTTTCTCTCTGAACTCACCATATTGCTACTTCTTCCCACACCCTAATATGTCACGCAACACACACACACACACACACACACACACACACACACACACACACACACACACACCATCCACATGCCCATCCACTCATGTGCCCAACTTGGGTAAATGTCCAAACCTGTGAGGAAACTGAGGCCAAGAAGGAAGAACTTAGCCACAGTTACCCAGATAGCTAGAGACAAGACTATAGCTAGGAAAGTTCCCCATCTTCCAGGCTTCTGACCACTTCAGGCAAGTCCCTGAACCAGGAATCATTAGCAAATTGTTGTCACTAAAAAGTCCCTTGCTTTGGGAACTTTCAATGGCTGCCACTTGGAGAATGGGAACCAGACTTCTTTTTTTTTATTGTGAAAATACTGTACAGAGGGGTTACAATTACATGGGCAAGATAATGAGCACATTTCTTATCAAGCATTGTAGCCTCTTTTTTGTTTCCCCTTCCCATCCCTGTGCATCCTCCTCCCCCCACCAAAGTTGTAAAGTTCATTTTTCGACATAATGACTTGTACATCTCATTGTTGCAATGGATCCTCCTGTATTCCTGTTTTAACGATTTGTTTTTTCCCTTCCCCTCCACATATACCAACATCAGGGGTTATACCATGGGGAACCAGACTTCTTAAACCACAGAGACCAGCAAGAGAGGGCCTTGCCTTCATTGTCCAGCCCCTAATGCCCCTGGCAGGCCACTCTGCACAACATCAGCATCGATCCTCAGCAGGGGCACCTGTGTTGCTATGGCAATGGGCACCCACCTCACTGCATCCAGCCCCACGTCTGGCCCGGCCATGAGCCCTGAGACTTCCATGCCCATCCTCCTGTGGTTTTGGTGGGGGCGGTGCTTTCTCCTCTCATAGCTGTGCCTGAGGGCTCTGTGCCCTCATTAGCTGCACAGGCAGCTCCCTCAAAGGGCAGACTCTTCTGTCTTCCAGTCCTCTGGTGCCCAGGGCTTGTAGCCATAACCCTAGAGAAAAGCTTGTCCAGACTCACATGCCATGTCTCGCACCCTACCTTCCAAAGCTCAGCAAATAGAAGTCAGTTTGATTCAGCCCCCCAGGACAATGGTTACCTTCGGTGTGTGTGTGGGGGGGGGGGGGGGGACCAATGACTCCAGTATGGTCTCTGTCTACTTGTTTGTCCCCAGGGAGCTTTAAGTCATACCAAAGAAAAGGACCCAAAGAGATGAAGTCTTTAAAACAGATTTTTATTTTTAAATCTGTGGACTATGGGGCATTAGGAGACTGTGGAATCTATTTAATGGGTCATGACCAATATTTACATACAAAATGAATAGAATATATCAGAACAGAAGAAAAAAGAAAATAATGTAGCTCTTGTTGAGAAAAAAATTTGTTTTGTGCGACTGGAATGAATTGAGTGTGTGTGTGTGTGTGTGTGTGTGTGTGTGTGTGTGTGTGTGTGTGTGTTAGATTATGATACAAAAATAACTGTCACTGTAGGGCCATAAAAGTGAATGCCTGTCTATCAAAAGATGGGACATATAGAGGAAGCCCTTGAAAGAGAAGGGACTCAGGGTGCTAGGGAAAGCCCCACAGAAGAGGTAGCACATGAGCTGGGACAAGATAGGAGGGTGTTTGTCTGAGAGCCATGGGGAGGGTGGGTCAAGGCATGGAGATGGGCCCGTGCCAGGCCTGCCAGTGTAAGCATCAGACCCTGTGGAGGGGTCTGTGCTGAGGGCTTTGATATCATGCCAAGACAGTTTCTTGAAAGCAACAAAGAGCTGCTGATGGCTTTAAACACAAACTATCATGATTGAGGGAGCAAGAGAAAGAACCAGGGAGGCAAGAATGCCAGTCCAGGAGGAAGGCTTAGAGACAGAGGGCTGAGGGATGGAGGAAGGGGCTGGGAAAAGAGAGCCCAGACTCTGTACTCAACTCCTCAGGGCCTCAACTTCTCAGTTGGGAGCTTAAGTGTTCAGCATTGTGGGTGCTCAGAAGAAAGCAATCAGAGCAGTCACCTTTCTGGAGGAAGGACCTACCTAGCTCTGGACCTCAGGAAAACTAGACAGCATCTAAGCCCCTGGGGAGTCAGGTGCCAGGGCAGACCAAGGGGAAGCTCCCCTTGAGTTGAGGGTCAGAGTCAGCATGGGTGTCCCTGGACTGGCCCACCAGATCCTGCCCAAGATGGGCCTCCCACTTACAGGCACTGCAGGCATGACCAGTTCATCCACAATCACTAGTCTGAAAAATCTGTGAGCTCAGAGCAGCGAATTTGGGAATGATTAAGCTGATAGAACCTTCCCTGTTGTTTCTGCTCTTTAGCAAGCATGGTTCCATTGCTTTTAACTCACTGTCAGCTCAGCGGAAGTGGGTTTTTAAGTAACTTGATTATTTCAGAACTCACTGCTTCCAAAAACAATCTGAAGTTCCCCTCCGGCTCTGTAACTCTGGGCTCTATGAGCTATTTATCTTAATTAGCTTTATATTGTATATCTAATATAAGCCCCAAAGGAAAACTCACAAATAACTGTCATTCGCCAGAGAGCAAAGTGTTGTACAATTACCCCATAACAATGGTGTTTCAGAACGGCACTCAGGCAGGAGTGGGGCGGGGGGTGCTGATGCCATTTGTGGAGCAGAGGCAGCAGGGTTTGGATGGTCTCAGCTGAGAGGGGTCCCTCCTGGAGGGAGGTTATGGGTGGGCTGTATGGAAGGTGGGCTTGTGGTTAAGAACAGAAGCCAAGCCAAATTTTCTATGTCTGATCCTCTTGTCACTCTGTATCCTTATCCTTGGCAGTTAGCCCATTCCCTTTGTGCCTGTGTCCTCATAGGCGAAGTGGGCCAAAACTGTCCTAGAGCCTACTCCAGAGAGTGGCCATAAGCACTGTGTACAGGGAGAAGCTGAAGTCCTGGCCCATGGAAACATGCACTATACCATTGCAGGCACTGTTAAAATCCAAGTGCTGGAAAAGAAGTATAGAGCACAGAAATGTGAAATGATCTGAAATAAGGATGCAAATTATTTGTTGTGCTAAAAGCAAATCTTCAGCCACAACCCAGTGCTCACAATTGGGCTCAGTATTGTTGCAAAGGAACACAATGAAAGGAAGGGTACAAAGAACTGAAGATTGCATCTAAGATGGGCTGTGATGGCTATATAAAATAAGCCTTCTGTGCCATTCTCACAGAAATGGCCTTTGCGTAAGCTTTCAGGCATGAATTATGTTTTGGGGCCCAAGGGTGCTGAGAGGAAGGGAGCCAGGGAGGACTGATCTGACCCTTGGTGGTTGGCACTTCTGTAGGGAATGCCTACCGAGACTGCTTGGAGAATGGAACTTGGGCCTCCAGGATCAACTACTCACTGTGTGAACCCATTCTGGATGACAAGGTGAGTGGCCTCACCTGCCCCACCCTGGTCCTAATGCAAATGGCAGACACAGAGCACGCAGAACTTGGCACAGGTAGCTGGATGCAGCACAGGTATGGGACTCAGGATAGGTAGAGGGACTCAGCACAGGTAGAAGGACTCGGGACAGGTATGGCAGTCTGGAAGGTTAGTGGGACTCAGCACAGGTAGGGAAACTCATCAGGTAGGGAGATTCAGCATAGGTAGTGGGATGCAGGTTGAATCCAAGGATAGCAGAGCCCATCCTTGTGTCACCAGCCCTCTTTTCTGCAGCCCTATCCCCTGCCTTTGCCCTAGCCCTGTCCTGTGCTGTCTGACACCATGGTGGGAGTGAAGAAGGGGACATAGATTCCTAATCCCAGGAGAGCTCCCTGGAGAACCAAGGGCGTGACCATGTGCCCTGTGAGCAAGCACACTCTTCCTCTTCTGACTGGGAGACTCTCGAGGAAACAGGCGTGGTCTCCCAGGGCTGTGTGCAGGAAATTGGACCTCTCTAGGCCTGGGAGTCCATATGGTCCAGGGTCCAGCTTTTTTGGTGATAGTGCTGGGAACGGAACCCGCCCCTGCTGCATCCTAGGAATGGAACCAGCCTCTAGTGCATCCTGGGCATAATGGAACTGGAACCCACCCTCAGTGCATCCTGGGTAAGCTCTATTACTGAGCTGCACCTGTCGCAAACCTGTCTTCACTCTGACCCAAAGTAATGCAGCCCTGTTCCAATCCTTACCCAGAGCAGTGCTCAGTGGGGCTGGAGTCTTTCTCCAAACGAAATCTAGTGCAAAGGCAGAAGCATGTGCCCTCCCTGAGAAGGTGAAGAAGCTATCAAACAGGAGCCCAGGGCTCCAGGGACAGCTGGAGTGGCCCAAGGTTTAGAGAGGAAGAGGTTTCTGCCTCTGTCTTCACTGCATACATTCTTTCAGCTGCTCCAGTACTGGTAAACCAACATAGCAGAGGAGAGGGCACCCGCTCCCTGGCAGGAAGGAATCCCTTGTCACTAGCATTGTTTAGAATTGCCAGCATTTGGCAATAATATTAAAAAGTTGGCTTTTATTCACTTTGAATAGGATCCTGTCTCAACCCCCACCTCCAAAAAAAAAAAAAACCCACAACAGTTTGAATAGTACTCCCAAGGGCTCTGCAGACACTGTACCCTTCACTGCAGTGCCAGCCTGGCTGAGCAATACCAATCCACCCTCAGAATTTCCATGAGTCCCCGCTTCCAAGGTGGGAGGATAGGTTGGCCCAGTGTGTATCTGTGACAACTGAGGCCCAGAGATACACTCAGCTGTTCAGCCAGTTAGGAAATCCAGTTTTGTTTGTTTTTATTTAGATGTAGCTCCATCTCTGCAATATCCTAAAAGAGACTATGTCCAAACTTGCCACAAAATGCATTCTGGGAGGCTTGACAAGGACAAGACAACAGCACTGGGCTTCAACAGCGCTGAGCTCCAGGAGCCAGGCTTGGCTTGACACTTGGAGCATCTTCTCCCAAGTCAGGGCACCAAGGGACCACCAGGGTGGCATGCCCAGCTCCATCCTCACACACCTATGTTCCCCTTCCTGTGTCTGTCTGTCTAGCATAGGAAGTATGACCTTCACTACCGCATTGCCCTTGTTGTCAACTACCTGGGCCACTGTGTTTCCATGGCGACCCTGGTGGCCGCCTTCCTGCTCCTCCTGGCTCTGCGGTGAGTAGGCCTTCCTCCCTCCCTGCCTTCATTGTCTCCTTCTCCTAAGCAGAGCCTCCACATGGGGATCAAGAGTAAAGTCAAGTGCAAAGGCATGTGGGAATGGGTGCAGGCCACTGACCACCTGCAGTCATGGGGGGGGGGGGTCTAAGTGGCCCACCATGGCCACCCTAGGGAGAGCAGCTTGATGTCAGCCTTGCCCTCACCCCAAGCTGACTTAGTACAGTCTATTCTCAGCTGATCTTCAGTGTTGACTGAAGCCCCATCTGCACTCTGAGCCTGCTGACCCTTGACCCTGCCTCCTCACAGGAGCATCCGCTGCCTACGGAATGTGATCCACTGGAACCTCATCAGCACCTTCATCCTGAGGAATGCCATGTGGTTCGTGCTGCAGCTCATCGACCATGAAGTACACGAGAGCAATGAGGTCACTGCTGGGGAGCCCAAGCCTGGGCCCAGACCCAGCCACAGGGGTGCCCACTTCTCTCCCAGACACTTAGTGGCAAAATCAGATGAAAACTCTCCTCCACCCCAGCCAGTGTTCCTGACCAGAGTTCCAGGCTAGGGTCCCGGTACGGGCAGCTCACATGTCTCCTTCCTATCTTTGAATTCAGGTCCTTTAGGGCTGAGAGTGAGCTCTGCAGAGCTCTGGCTCCTGTCATCCCATTTGAGCATGGGTGGATTATCACCCCCTACACATACACACACACACACACACACACACACACACACACACACACACACACACACACACACACGGAACAAATCCAGAGGTATCACATGATAAGGAAGCCTTCACAGCATGGCTGGCTCCATGGACTAGGGGACCACCCCAGGTTGTGTCCACTGCTACTGCACAGTGTCCAGTGTCTGTAAATATGAAGGTTGAGTTGCACCCCCCCTTCCCCACTCTGGCACACAATCTGTTCTCTTTGATAGCAGAGCACCAGCCTCTTCCCTTAGCCCCGCGCTTACCCTGACTTAGGACCCAGCAGGTGCAATAAGAAACCAGGTGCCTTCTGGCTCCAATATTAGCTTTTTCTAGGGAGACAACACTTGACTTGAAGAAAAGGAGGGAATCCCACCCCAGCAGGACTTTCTCAAAGTAAGCAGGCAGCAGCCATCTGGGCCCAAGATCAGGACTAGGGCCATGGGGGTAGAGACCTGGAGCAACTAGCAACTTGGCACAGAGCAATTATCTAGGACTCTGGATGTCTGTGCTAGACAGGATAGGGGCTGATTGCCCATGGACCCTCTCAGATGGCTCATGCCAAAGCCTGCTGCCTCAACATGCAAGCCTTGGCTCAGAGAGTGCCCTGGGGTGAACCCAGAAGAAAGAGGCTACGCAGGGAGACTCTGGTGTAGAGGCCTTCATCTGGGACCAGGCTTGGTGAGGTTTACTGAATGGTTCCCCTACATCATAAACAAGGTGCTTAGGAGTTCACCTCCAAGGAGCAGGGCTAGATCTCCTTCTACTTAGAGGGAAGTCACAGAAGCAGCTTGTACTTCAGCCATGCATTGTGCTTGGTGCCTGATTTTCCTTTGCCACCCAGAAAAGCAAGACAGTTACCATGAGCTTAGAGGGGTGGTCAATTTCTAAAGGCCCCATAGCCAGTGGGCCTGACTGAAGCCACTGATCCTTCCACGTCCTAAGTTCCCCAAAGCCAGGGGCTCGGACGAGCCCTACTTGGTTGCACAGGCCTCCTTGTCCTCCAGTGGCCCTGACTTATGTCAATCATGTTTTCTTTTTTTTCCAAATGAAAGTTCACATTCCATCTCTAGGAATCAGTCTGATTCCACTGGGTTGAACACAATGATGTTTAGTTTTTGCACTTTTCCATGGCTGCAAAAATCTCTGGATCCCACTCACCTTTCCTTGATTAAAAGAAGTTGGTCCAGGCTTGTAATCCTAAATACTCAGGAGGCTGAGGTCTGAAGAGTAAAGTTTGAAGCCAATCCAGGCAAAAATCCACAAATCCACAACTCTTATCTCTAATTAAATAGTTAAAAACTGGATATGGAGGTGTGGTTCAAATGGTAGAGCACTAGCCTTGAGAGAAAAGCCAAACAAGAGTGTGAAACAAAACCCTAAGTTCAAGCCCCAGTATCAGTACCAAAAACAAAAAAAAAAGTGTTGGGAAGGGTTGGAGAGAAGTTAGAACTTCATCCTACAGAGTGAGAGCAGGAGGTGTATGAAACTTCTCAGTGAGCACCATCATGCCCAAGCGCTCCATCTCAAAGTCCCTGAGGCTTGCTACCCTGTCCTGGCCCCCAATAGCCTTTGACTCCCTTCCTGGCCCCCAGCAGCCTCTGGTCCCTCTCCTGGCTCCCAGCAGCCTCTGACCTCCCCCCTCCCCCATGCAGATCTGGTGCCGCTGCGTCACTGCTGCCTTCAACTACTTCGTGGTCACTAACTTCTTCTGGATGCTGGTGGAGGGCTGCTACCTGCATACAGCCATCGTCATGACCTACTCCACTGAGCGTCTGCGCAAGCGGCTCTTTCTCATCATTGGATGGTGTGAGGGTCCCACAGCAGCAGGGCTGGAGGGAGGGTACTGTTAATAAGGTCTCCTTCATCTTGGGGACAAGGACAGTAGCACATCCCTGCCTTCAGCCCTTCCACCATGCACCCTTCCACCTTCCTTTTGAAGGAGCCAGGAATCCCTACAAAGGATGTTCCAGAAAGAGCCCTTTTCTTCCTGCCCAGAATGCCAGCCCCAAGACCTTGGTCTCTGTCTTGACAGGAGAAACTGCTGGCTCTATTTCTCTTTCTCAGAACCTCAGAAGTCATAGCCTCCATGGTTTGGAGAAGAAGCTGACTGAGGGCAAGACTCAGGAGCAGGGCATCCTAGGAGCATAAATGGCCTGTAGTTGGAAGATCAGAAGCATGATCCTAGGTCCCTCTGGTTCCCTACCCTTGGTTCTATAACAGGGTCCCTGTCCATTTGTCCATTGCAGCCCATGTCTGTCCTTCTTGTAGGCATCCCCTGCCCCATCATCATTGCCTGGGCCATCGGAAAACTCTACTATGAGAATGAGCAGTAAGTAGAATGGGAGCTTGGAGGCAGACAATACAGGTCAGCCTTGGGCTAGGGCCAAGACATGGGCCAAGTCAGATAGGTCACTTTCCTGTGTCCCCACACAGGAGTGTGCAAGGCTGCTCCCTTTGTTGAATTCAGTTAGGAAGCCTGGTTTTAGGAATGTCCTCCTCAGAGCTGGATGTAGAAGAGGCTTTCCATCTGGGTGTTATCCAAGGCCAGGTAATGAGCATCTAATGGAGCCCACCAGGAACTTACTCTCTGACATCCTAGTCTCTGCCTGGGATGTCCTCCACACCATGGATGGATGTCCAGCCATGGCCCTGATGAAAGCAGCTCTCAGGGTTAGAGAGCACAGAAGAGACAGGTGGGGCAAGAATGGTAGAGTTCCAGGAGCTCAACATTGGCAAATGCTCAGAAGGCTGAGATCTATCCAAGAACAGGAGAGTTGCATAATACAAAACGAGCTTTCTGGCAGAGGCCAGACACTCTGAGGTGGGGAGGCAGTGGATCCAGGCTGCAGAGGCCCTATTTCCACACATGCTGCCTTGTACCTTCAGTGCCTGGCCATGCAGAGGTTGGGTTCTGAGTGCCATGGGCCAAGTGTCACAGGGCAATTCAGCTCTGGGCGAATGGGGGCATAGCTTTCCCTACATTCCTGTGACTCCTATGTAATCCTCCTTGAGCCCATAGTCTACAATGTGTCAGGGGACCAAAGCTGGCTAGGGAAGCAGACTCTGGCTGGGTAGGGGCAATCCTGGAAATCAGGGCTTAGGAGGGCCAAGCCAGAGAACCTGTGTTTGACATTGGGAGGGGTCCCTGGGTTTGGCTCAGCAGGCCACCCATGGCCACACCATCCTTACAGGTGCTGGTTTGGCAAAGAGCCTGGAGACCTCGTGGACTACATCTACCAAGGCCCCATCATCCTCGTGCTCCTGGTAAGTCCTCAATGAAACTAGAGTGGGCTGAACCCCCCCAGGACAGAGACCCTGGGAAAGGTGTGGCCTGGACAGCACCTCCCCCCCCATTACACCTCTGTCCCTCTCCCCTGCTTTGTGTACCAGTTTGCTATTCCTTCCCTTGGCTCTGCCTGGCACAGCTAGGGCCTTGGATGAGGAAGGGGTTTGACTGGTGAGTTTCTAAAGTCTAATGTCTATTTGCAAGGTATGGTGCTGAGACAGCAGGTGAACAGGCAGCTGGAGGCAAGACAGGGGTGTGGGCTTCTGTTCACTCTGCCTCCAGCAACTCCCTCTGGGGCTCTGCCCACCGCCCCCAGCCTGGAGCTTTAGACTGCAGAATGCAGTGTAATGAGCGATTGTTCCTTGTCCAGCCTTCTCCAAATGTATTCACATTTAAGGTATAATTGCCACCGTGTCTTTAATCTACACCGAGCTTTAATTAAGAGAAAGTTTAAGTAGAGGCTGCATTCTGCAGAAAGAATCCATTATATAGCACACATTTAAAAAAAAAAAACAATATGTAAAAAGCCCCTTAAGAAATTAGCATTTACGTAAGACTTATTTAAGGCTTAGTAATTTCAGGCTCTTGTGTATACCAGCTTCCTTAAAGGACCATGGAACCCTCTGAAAATTAAGGGGAGCTACACACAGCAGTGGGGGATGTTACACCCTACACACAGCAGAGGTGGGCTTCTAAATCTATTACTGAGATGGCTACTTTACTTTTCTGTTTCCTCACTCCTGCCCTTTGCTAAGACTTTTGGGAGTCACTGGACCCCATCTTTGGAGCATCCTTGATGGATGTAAGCTGATGATGGCCAGGAAAGCTTCTTGCCTCCTGCTTGAACTTCCAGTCAGGGTTTTGCTCACTTCAGAGGATGAGCCAGTCTTTGCAGCAGATGGCGGGGAGGGACTGTCCTTGCCTCCCAGCTGCCGTGAGCCACTCACTTCAGTGTGAGTGAAAGTCCAGGATCCCTTCCCTCCCAGCCAGCCGCCCACAGTGGAGGGCTGGGGCTTCTGATGCACCTGGCACTCAGCTGAGAAAGGCCATCGAGGGTGGGGTCTGACCCTGCAGGGGTGAGCTCCAAGCTGTCCGATGGCCAGGTAGCGAGGGAATGCCCAGGGAGGGCAGATGAGGTGTGGAGGCCTGGTGCCCACAGCACCTTTTCCCTGCTTTGCACCTTCCTTCGCTGCAGGATGGGGCTCCTCGTTCCAAGCTATACTCCCTCCACAGGCTCCAGATCACTGCTGATCCTCACAGCCTTGAGGCGTTGACCCCAGGATGTAGAAGAGCAAACCAAGCTTGTCCCAGGTCACAGCCCTACTGGCAGAGCTGAGGCCCGGGCCTCTTGCCTCATTGTCCTCTGCCTGCTGTCCCTTGGTGGGAGAGGTGCTTGGAACTCACTACCTCTGCTCCTCTAGCTACTCTCAGCTGTGTTCTGCTGCTAGAGACCCCTTATTTTTGAGCTAGAAGGTAGAATTCACAGGAAACCTGACGCAGTTATCATGGGAGAGGGACATAACATCCATCAGACCAAACATGGGCCCCATGCCCTCTGTAATTTTTGTCACCCTGTGTCCAGCTTTCAAGGCAAGCAGTGTAGTTGTCCATTGGATAGTCAAGGAACAGAAGCTCAGAGATGTTAGCAGATGGCCTGAGGTTTCACAGTGCCAGCTGGGACAGAGGACTGTGAGCCAGGAGACAGGACTTGGAGCAGAGTGCACCCAGGAGGTGTCTCAAGAGCATGGAGTAGCTGGGAGCAAAAAGAGAATTTCAGCAGTGATGGAAAACCTTTGGCTCAAGGATGTGCCCAAGATGGAATTCAGTGAGTCCCAGAACACATTTTTTAAAAAAGCGGAGCTGTGCACTGGTGGCTCATGCCTGTAATCCTAGCTACTCAGGAGGCTGAGATCTGAGGATCACAGTTCAAAGCCAGCCCGGGCAGAAAAGTCCATGCAACTCTTATCTCCAACAAACAACCAGAAAACTAGAAGTGGTGCTGTGGCTCAAGTGGTAGAGTGCTCGCTCACCTTGAGCTGAAGAGCTTTGGGACAGCACCCAGACCCAGAGTTTAAGCCCCACAACCCCCAAAATAGTGGGGAGCAAGGAAATAGAAGCGATGTGGTCTTCATGGTAGACCAAGAAGCCATGAGGCCCTACTATGGCCTCACCCAGGGAACTGGGCTCCATTTGGCCTCATTTCCTGAGGCACTGCACATATAGGTGATAAGAGTTAGGGGAAGGCTGAAGCCAGGTGCCTCGGCTTGAATGCCACCATTCTAATCACTGTGGCACCAGGAAGAGTTATGGAATCTAGTGCAACTCTCAGGTGGAGTTAGTAGTCATGGATGTCTACAGAAGTTGCTTAAAAGCCCTGCAATGCTTGAGACTGTCTGTGGCACAGTGCGTGTACTAGATCCATTGCTAAGCGATGAACCCACCTGACCTGGCACAGGGGAGTAGGGGTTGAAACACCCAAAGCTCCAGGCAGAACAAGACACAGCAGCCTGATGCCCACTGCCAATATGCCCAACACCCACCCCACAGACCTCATGGGCAAAGCAAGGTCCCTGAGGAATGGGAGTGCTGGTAGGGATGAGCTCCCTCATGAAGGTCGTAGGAGGGAGAGACTCTCCAGGGAGGGTTCTTCAGGGAGCTGGCTCATTGTCCCTAGCACTCCTTCCTGAAGTTCCAGGACCCAGCATGTGGGCCACCTGACAGTATCCTGGGCTGGGCAGGATGCCTTGCAGGGGCCCCTTGGGAAGAGGTGCATTTTCCTGTGTGGGCTCCCAGGAAGCTCTGTCTTCTTTCCTGAGCTTCCACACCATTACCTACAGCTGCACTGACCCCCGTCTGGGTCCTAGATCCTCCCATGGCAGGCCATTCACTTGGCCTGGTCTCTGCCTGTAAAGGTTCCTCACCTTGTCTGGCTAACCATGCCTCATTTTCAGTTTTCAGTTCAGTACTGTGTTACCAGGCCCTCAGGACCCCAGTGTCCACCATCTCTGCTAAGCCATAGCCCTCTGCAAGCAAGGACCCTATCTACCTGCCACTTAACCATTATTGGTGCTCAGCACAGAGCCTGATACATGGAAACTTGGTTTATTGATAGGATTAATTACAACTAGAAACTAGGCTGGGCATAGCCCCAGCCCATCAGCCAGGGATCACTGCAGAGCTGGGTTGTTTAAGCATAAGCTGGATCAACTGAAGTCTGAAAATGAAAAGTAGACAGTGAACTCTGCCTGGGCTATTGTTAGGGGCTCTGGAGAGAGGGGGAAGTGCAGGGTGTGTGTGTGTGTGTGTGTGTGTGTGTGTGTGTGTGTGTGTGTGTGTGTGTGTGTGTGTGAGTCCTGGAACTTGAACTCTGCCTGGGCACTGTCCCTGAACCTCTTTTGCTCAAGGCTACACTTGAGCCGCAGCTCCACTTGAGCCGCAGCTCCACTTCCAGTGTTAGTAGTTTATTGGAGATAAGAGTTTCGCAGACTTTCCTGACCAGGCTGGCTTCAAACTGCAATTGTCAGATCTCAGCCTCCTGAGTAGCTAGGATTACAGGTGTGAGCCACCAATGCCCAGCTAGGATATATTTTTATTCCAAAAGTCTTTACTCTCATAGAAGTCAGGCAGAGTAAAAAAGAAAAGGTCATGTATTTTGTATTTACACAGGCATGGCTTATATATCTGAACTCAAGAGCCGGATGTGAAGCAACCCTTAAAAGAAGGCTGGTGACAGCCATGGCAGCCTCTGGTTCCACTCCTTCCCTTGGCTCACAGGGCCATATGACATGCAGAATGTAGAGGAATCTCAGCTTCCTTCCCTAAGCACCTCTCCAATGGGGGCTCTCAGAAGTTGCAGGATGGACAGTCCCATGTCTGCTTGTTCCCTTAATTCCAGCCTGGGACCTGGAATTTAGCATGGTTGGAAGGGCCTGGCCTAAACTGCAGAGCAGTGGATTTATGACTCTGTGTGTGTGTGTGTGCTCATTTGCACATGTGGATTTATGAGTCTGTGTGTATGCCCATTTGCACATGAGCCAGCCAAATCTCTAGGTACATATGTATCCACATGTCAAGCCTGCCACACTCCCATTCCTGCTTTCTTTGGCTTGGAGTCAAACAGGCACATTCATGCCCCAAACACACATACTCACCCACACACACATATGGTCCAGTGCACACACACAGGCTCATGTACACATTCACAGGAGTAGACCCACAGGCCTACGGCTCTGATATACAAAGAAGACTCAGAACGAGGATAAATGAGCACTTCCAGGAGCCTGGGGAGCTACCTGCAACCCATTCATTTCCCTCCACTCTGGAGCTCCTGGGTGCAGGGAAGTGGTGAGAGGCTCGTCATCTCCTGCAGGCCAGCAAGGGAGCTGTTCACTTTTTCCAGCTCTGGTGTGTGGGAGCCTGTGACTGAGCTGAGGGAATCAAAGCCCTGGGGCTACCTCTATGGAGTTTCTGAGTAGGACAAGTTTGGAGTTCCTGAAATGTTCTCGAGTGGCCTCAGCACTGGCTCATGGCCTTTAGGGTGATGCTTGCCCCCTGGGATGGAGACAGCAGGTCTTGGAGCTGATGTGGTGTCCATCCATCTATGCTGACTAGGGAGAAGCAGATTGGGGTAGTTAGGAGGTGCTCAGTACTGGGTGTCTGCTAGGAGGTGGTTCTCAGGGGGAGATGGCTTCCTCTTGGCCCCCTCCCACACACTTATGGTCCTTCCTTTTCCCCTCTTTGCCTTCCTCCAGATCAATTTCGTATTTCTGTTCAACATCGTCAGGATCCTAATGACAAAACTGCGAGCATCTACCACATCGGAGACAATCCAGTACAGGTACATGGTCATCTTGGTACCTCAACCTGGCACAAGGAAACAAGATGGTCATCTGAGTGGTCCCCTGACCTCTGGGCAGAGACCCCTGAGTCCTCACCCAGGGGGATGACACAGGCTCCAGATGCCACGGAGTGTGAGCTTATCTCTGTCACTCTTCTCACCCCCAGGAAAGCAGTGAAGGCCACGCTGGTGCTTCTGCCCCTGCTGGGTATCACCTACATGCTGTTCTTCATTAACCCCGGAGAAGACGACCTGTCACAGATTGTGTTCATCTATTTCAATTCCTTCCTGCAGTCCTTCCAGGTGGGACCCCACACACACACACATACCCACACACACACAGAACCCAAACTACCCAGGCTGCCCTGGGCCACTCCCATCTGAGGCTAACTTCCAAGATTTGGGAAGGCCGCCACCTGAGGCCTTAGAATCGGCTCCTTATGGATGCCAGCTCCAGGCTGAAATCATTCCTCGCCCAGAGTGGCCCCTGGTATACCTGCACTCCAGAGCTAGGGCCCTGACTTCTGAGCCACCCAGCTCTGATCCCTGGGGTCCTGGCCATTGGGTCCCCAGTCATCCAGCTGCTGCCCCACCCTGTGGCCTGGTGGCTCCTCCCAGATCCCTGACCACTCCCTTCTTGCTTTTTAGGGTTTCTTTGTATCTGTCTTCTATTGCTTCTTCAATGGAGAGGTATGAGTCAGGGCCCTTGGGGGACCTGGGCCCTTGGGGTCCTCAGGCCCATTCCAGTTGAGCTTTCCCACCTTTGAGGGGAACTTTGTCCCTGGCTCTGCTCAGCTCTGCCTGAAGTAGGGGATCAGAATGCCTCCTGTAAGATCTGGCAACAGTACAGGTCAGCCACCCAGGCCAGCCCCTCATGCTGGACAGGCAGGCAGGGAGTCCAGGCTGCAGGAATTCCTGGAAAAAAGAAGCTATAGCAGAGCTGGTTAACAAGAGGAAACTTGTAGTAGAAGGAAGTGAGGCCTGAACCTTACAGCAGTTCTTTATGGATGCAGAGGAGAGGCCAGCATGTTCTCACCCCCACAGAAAAGCCTACATGCCCTGGATGGGCTTTAGGGTAAGGTCTGGTCCATTAAGGAGGCCCAGCACCCCAAGGTAGATGCAGCCCAATGGTGAAGAACACATGGGTAGGGAAGCAAAGAGCACAGGCCATCTGCTCTGGAGGAATCCACATGCCCTCCTCAGGCCCCTTAGCCTGTGATTGCTCATTACCAGAGTGTATATCTGTGCAGGCAAGGTCTCTGGCAACTGAGGCTAGGCCTGGGTACAGATACCAGCTGTGGAGACTTCTCTACGGGCTGCAGGATAGATGGAGCTGCTGAAGCAAATGACAGCCAGTGTTTTGGAGAGTTCTCTCTGTTCAAACCATGTGCTAGGCAAGAACAGTGGAAATAATACATTTTACAGAATTCTTCCATTAAAACACAGAGAACAGATCCGACTGGGTGTGGAAATGGCAGAACAGAGCTGGGTGGCAGGGCGGTGGTCATGGCAGAGCTAGATAGGACAAGGCCTTCTGGAGGAAGGGGAGCGAGTCACACCTCCATCACTGGCAGCAAAGTGCTGAGAGCCAAAGGCCTGACTTAAAAAGCCCCTGAGATGGCAGTGCCCACCAGAAGCTGGGAAAGTCAGACTATTCAGCACAGGAAGTCAGAGCCAACCTCTTCAGAGAAGGGGCAGAGAGGGTCCCTGCTCTCCCCCTCACACACACACCCCTTCAGGGGAAGCATTGGGTCCCTGGGGAAGGACTCCCCATAGGGAATGACTAGTCAGTCCTTAAATGTGTTTGTACAGTGCCAGGGTCACCCCAGCCCTCCTCTCCAACAGTACTGAGAAGAGTGGGGAGCAGGGAGAGGCCTGGCCAGCTGCTGACCAAGTCCTCCTCCTTCAGGTGCGCTCAGCTGTGAAGAAGAGGTGGTACCGCTGGCAAGACCATCACTCCCTCCGAGCACCTGTGGCCCGGGCCATGTCCATCCCCACATCACCCACTAGGCTCAGCTTCCACAGCATTAAGCAGACGGCCGCTGTATGACCATTCATCATCCACTTGTCCCCAACCCCTTCTACTACCCAGGAGCTTTCCTATCTTTCTCCGTCCTCTCCCCTATGTCCTCCTAGCTGCACAGGCCCAGGGGATGCAGGAAGGGAGAGAAGAAGTCAGCCCTCCAGTCTGGCAAGAAAGGGGGTACAACTACAGAAAGGGCTTCAGGGGACCAGAGTCTGCTGCAGCCTCAAGATTCCACACAAGAGGGGCCTCATCCCAAGGGACATCAGAGAAGCATCTCCTTTGTCCCCTGCCCCTCAAAAGCTGTCCCTTATCCCCCCCTAGCTGCCTTCCCACCCCTGGGGCTCTGGGAGGACACTGGTTTCTAGCCTCTTTCCCAGGTGCTGACTGGGGACTTTACAGTGTGGTGGGTCAGGAGGGGACAGCATAGATACTTGCAGTGCAACTGGAGAGGAAGTGCGGGACAAAATGGAGTGGGAGCATGGAATAGGAGGAATGAATGGGATGTTTCTGGTGATTGGCATGAATTCCCCAGTCCTTCCTCTGACTGGCCTCAGCCTCCTCTTCGGCAATAGTTTCTGCCTTCTGAAATACACCAAGCCTCTTTGGAGATCCCCTACTCCACTCAGGTCAAGTGGCCAGGCAGGCAGGGAGAGGCTAAAGTTGGGGGCTAGGCCTGCAGGGCACAGCCTTGTCCATGTCATTAGTGGAGATGTTGGTTCTGGCCATGAAGGACCTTCCTCTCTCACCAGTGGGAGGTCTGGAGTCTTCGTGGGCAGAGCACCTGCAGGGCCATCCCTCCTTCCTCAGGCTGATGTCTGCCACCAGCTCCAGCCCAAGCTGTGTCCTAAAGGAGGACAGGCATGTGGAGGGAAGGGCAAGACAGACAAGGCCCCAAGACTCCATAAGAACAACCTACAGTAGAATCACTTGCAGGAGTTAGTGGGCAAGGCCACAAGCCTTGAACAGGGATTTTGCTGGAAGTCCTCCCACAAAAATAAAACTTGGAAAACCACATCACCCACCTTGTACTGTTTTTTGTTTTGTTTTGTTTTTTGTTAGTTTGTTTTCAGCCATGGGGCTTGAACTCTGGACCTGGGCACTGTCCTTCAGCATTTCAGCTCAAGGCTATCACTCTACCACTTGAGCCACAGAGCTACTTCTGGTTTTCTGGTTGTTTATTGGAGATAAGAGTCTCACAGACTTTCCTGCCCAGGCTGGCTTTGAACCATGATCCTCAGATTTCAGCCTCCTGAGTAGCTAGGATTACAGGCATGAGCTACTGGTGCCCATCCCTTGTACTGTTTTAATTTGGTATTTAGTAAGTTTTAAAATATGCAAAGTGTGATTTCTGGGATTTGGTAAATATTTACATTTTAAAATGAAACTACTACAGTCTAAAGTACATCAGATGTAATCTACACATGCATGCATCTACTAGAACTCAGGGCCTTGTGCTTTTACTTGGCTTTTTCACTCATAAGATTATGTTCTACCATTTGAGTCATATCTCCAGTCTGTTATTTTGCTAGTTAGTTGGGGATAAGAATCTTGTAGGCTTTTCTGCCCAAGATGGTGTTGAACTTACATACTCAGATCTCAGCCTCTTGAGTAGCTGGGATTACAAGCATGAGTCAATAGCACCCAGCTCCTATTTTTCTTAATTTTTTTTTTTTTTTTTGCCCATCCTAGGGCTTGGACTCAGGGCCTGGGCACTCAGCCTGAGAAACTAGGATTATAGGTGTGAGCCACTGGCACCTGGCCTTCTTTTTCTTTTCCTTTTTTTCTTTTTTTTAACTGACCACACTGAGGCTCTTTAAATAAGAAGTAATGGTAGCAAAGAAACTGAATTCTCTACAGCCCTGAGATTTGGTCTCCAAACTGAACAGCAATCTGTCATCTAGACAATCATGAAATGGCCCCTGAGGTCCTCTTGCCATACATCTGAGAAAATGAATTGCAACCCTGGCTACCAGGACCCATATCTCACCACCAGCCCTTGTATCAGATACTGGGGTAGGCAGAGGCCTGGAAGCGCTTTCAATGTGAGGTGGTGCACCAAGGAGCAATGTGGCCTAGCCAGAGCCCTGCTTCTCACAAGCCACCTTGGCTTTCTCACAAGACAGAACTCATGAGTGTCTTGGAAAGTCACACCGTCTCCTCAAGGCACAGTAATGGCTACATCCATTAGCACCACAATGTTCTTGTATAGAAAAGAGGTATAAATAGGTGGGCCCATGAGGCCACTTGGAGCTCAGTTGTCAGCCAGAAGAGATTGTGAGCTAGAGCTCACTGGAGCAAGCACTGCCTGGCTTTGGCACTCTTTACTGCTGCCTAGATGCAGCCCATTGTCCATCTTGTTCTTTGGTCCTTGGAGAGGCCCAGGACCCATGGTCCCTGCCCAGCCAGTAGTATGAAGATATCAGGCTGTAGACTTTGCTCAGTATATCTGGCCACTTTCTCTCTGGTGAAGAGGAAGTACTACCCAGCCCTGCCTCCCCTCAATCCCCAAGCCCCTGGTCACGGACCCTGCAGAGCTTTTCCCTTGAAATCCACCAGAGCCATTAAGCCAGTCTCGCTAGGTCCTCACTTGTTAACCAGGTTAGGCACCTGCTCAGTGCAGTCCAGCCAGTTCTCATGAGCATCTGCTTCAGTGCTGGCAGCCTCTCAATGCTTGACCTTCCAGAAAGTGGCCTCATTAGCAGTTCTTCCTCCTCGGTGCTGAGAGCTTCTAACAACAGACCCCCCAGGATCTCCCGCCTGATCTCTAAACTCTCCCTCACTTATAGAACAGCTGGAGGTTTGAACTCACAAAGGTGTTCCTCACCCCAATCCCCTGCTCTACTTCCATTGAGTCATCACTTCTGTTGTTAGAAGCTTCTACCAGGGACAGAGCAAGTTGGCCTCTGGCCTTAGCCTCTTCTGTGTGCATATCACCTGCCTATGCCTGTGGTGGCCTCAAGCCAGATGAAGCTCTTATGCGCAAGAAGCTAGGCTGTCCTTCACTTGGCTCCCACTTCCTGTCCTCTAGACCCAAGCCTTTCTCACCACTGCAGAGAAGGATGAGTGTGGGCAGGGATGTAGCAAATGGTTCCTCTGTTGTCCTGAGCATGCATTGAGGCACTGGAGACGAGGAGGCTGCCCCAGGAGGCTCACTCAGGATATACCAGGCCCTGCACTTGTTGTGGACATGGAAGGTAGGCCTGGGGCCCTGTCCATGAGTGACATTCCCAACCATGGTTGGAGGATTTGGTGACACCTAGCTGGGGTGGCACAGAGCTCCCCCAGAGGACATGTTTTTAAGAAAACTGACCCTTGGCAGGTGCTGGCAGAGCCTGCTGCTCAGGAACTTGGGTGGCTGCTAGCAGCAGGTGGTGAAAGCCGGTGTTTCCAGGCTCACAGGGATTTGGGGACCGACAAGCCACAAGCCCTCCAGTGGCTGACCATTGTATGGGAGCCAGGGACAAACAAAACTCCTTCCCTTCTCCCAACTCCCAACATCTGTCTGCTCCCATGCTGTACATGACAGAGTGAAGGTAAGAGGCCTCTCTTCTTTCTGGAAACCTCTAAGGCAAGGCAACTCCAGAGGAGTGGTCACCTGTAAAACATGCAGATGTACTCATCACTGTGCTGAGTGTGGTTGCTGGGCTCTGCCCCAGGATGCCCCTAATTCTCCCAAGGTGCAGCACCACCCAGAGATGCTAATTTGCAGGAGGGGTAGGCAGAGGCTGAATTGACCTCACCTCTGCGGTGACTGAATTCCTTCCAGCTCATCTGCGGGGAATTTCTTTGGAGACAAGGAACCACCACAGGGGCCCAGCCTCCTTCTGACAAGGAACCACCAGCCACAGGCTGGAACCCAGTGCTAAAAAGATACACAAGGCAGCACAAGGACATGGATTACTCTGACAAAAATCATGAACCATGCGCATCCTTGAGCCCAGAGCCAGTCCCCAGCTGGCAACATTGCCTCTCCACTTACATGAGTAACAGAAGCAGAGCAGGGCCTCTACTGCCTCCAGCCCACTCTGGCATATATGCCCTAAATGCCACCTAAAGGGCTTCCCAGCCTGTCTGCCACCATCCTGGTGGTAAGACCAGAAAGGGTTGGCTCCAGGTAGTCTAGATTTATATCTGTTGTCTTGGCACAGCCACAGTAGCATGCCTTTCCTCTTACCTGTCCTGGTTTGGATAAGCTCAACCCCTACATTTGTCTAAGTACACAATAAAGCCACTAGTGCAAGAATGAATGAATGAATGCTAAAAAGCTAGATGCACAGAAAATTCTGAATGTCAGCAATTACACTTTGGACTGAGAACTGGAGTAGGAGGCCTTTCCCAGACTGAGCCCCGCCAGCATCATCCATGTTTGCTGGTTGGCCAAATGAGTAAGCAAAGGCAGGGGTATGCACTAATAAAGTCTCCATCCAGAAAACTGCTCCTCCACCTCTCCTGCAGGCACAGCAAGATAATTAATTGTGCATTTTAACTAGTTCTTCAGGACACAGGAAAGTCCCCCTCTGGTTCCCTGGGCCCGGCAACCATAAAGAATGCAGCAATGGTAGTTCCCCATAGAGGAAGAGCCCTATTGCCCAGGAAGGCAGAGAATTCAAAGATGCTTTCTTTCTCTGGATTCTCTAGGGGAGGTCAGTGGGGGTGCCCATGAACACCCCTAGAGTAGCCTCCTGCCATTCTTCCTGCCCTCCCCAGATGCCTTCACTTACACAGAGAGTCACAGTCCATTTGATAGAAATTGGCAAGAAACTTGCCTATTTAGGGATTTCAGAATGTTCTATGAAGGCTCAGCTGGGAACAGCACCCATCCCCAATTCTAACTCCATCCCCTCCCTCAGCCAGAAACAGACTCTAGGTGACCCACCCCCCACCTCTCCACTGCAGACTAGGCATCAAGGCCTTCACATCTGAAGGATGACATACCACTGCTGCAGGGACTCCCACAAAGGAGATGGTCCAGAGAATGAGGCTTCACATGATCTGTACTACGTGTGGGCCATGGGCAACATGCA